ATCGTGGTGTTCGAATCTCGCAGGCGGGTACCAATTTTTCTAATGAAATACGTACCAAATGTTCACGAGTGACTTCCACGGTGAAGAAATAACATCGTGTAGTAAAAATCAAACCTGCAAAATTATAATTTACGTAATTACTGGTGGTAGGACCTCTTGTGAGTCCGCATGAGTAGGTACCACCACTTCGTCTATTTGTGCCGTGAAGCAGTGAACTTATATCTCAAGGTGGGTAGCGCATTTACGTTATAGATGTCTATGGGCTCTAGTAACCACTTAACACCAGGTGGGCTGTCCATCCATCTAAGCAATAAATAAAAACACCAGAATTTACAGTCCACTTCGTATCGTAAAACGCCGCGTGAGCGGACCTCTCGCCAGTAGAACCGACGACCGCTAAAGGTCGCATGAAAGCGCTGAGTGCGTGCTGCGTAGAGACTATCATTGGGCAAAGCTTGGACGAGGCCAATATAGCAGCGGACGTCTACTGGCTGATGACGAAATGTTTTAATAGTTAATTAGCTGACACAGTCGATCGATCACAGCAGGAAAGTATCACGCCGAAAGGCTTAAATACGTTTCCAATTACGCATTATCTTATCGACTGCCTCGATAAGTGCTTTCCGCTAAACAGTTGGCCCGATCATTTGTATTCTTTACGAAATATTGGCCATTTCATTAAAATACTTTTGGGATTCACGTCCGTAAGTAAAGCACGTGTCGCGTGTACTAAAGAAGCCCGATTTTCTTGAAAATAGTCCGGTTTTATGGGTATAATATTCTCCAATAAAATTAAAGCATCGTCTCCGATTCTCAGCCTACACCAGTTGGCGGTGAGCTCGTTCAGCCATCTATTACAATCAAATATATTTAAAAAACCATTTTAGAGTAATATTATTGTAGATAGACACCAATTACCTCCTTTATTAAAGCTATTTAGGGTGTTTTTAATTTATTTCAATGGCCCCTCGCACCGTGCGAGGAACTACCTTGTTTTCTTTATAAGGTATTACTTAATTACGTCAACTATTTCAAAAAAAAAAAAAAAATTAAGATAGCAAGACTCCAAGTGCTAAATTAGTCTTATGCTTTATTTAACACCTGGGATCCTCTTATGGTAAAAATAAGAAATAAGATAAGACGAAAAACCAAATCATGCAAACTGCCAGACCTCAAGATACTATTAGTTCTTTCGAAATTAGAGTGTTCGCACAATATTTAGTCTTCGACAACGTATAATAATACCTCAGGCAACCGTGACCACATTAACTGTAAAGAACTCTAAAGGAAATAATGTTTTTTTTCCCTGCTGGTAGCCTAAAAGGCTCTTCCAGCTACACGCAGACCGGTAGGTTAGCTCACGGGGCTCAACTCAAATGTACCACCGGATCGGAAACACGGCCCACTGAAAAGATTCGGCGAGAAACTCACTGAGCTCTGTCTGTGGGGCTAATAATATAATAACAATAGATAAACTAGCTTTCATTAAGTTCGTAAATGGTGTTTTGATTAATGTCCATTTTCAATTCCGATTTTATTAGGTAAACTTGTACCTAACATAGCCTCGTAATCACAGACACCTTCCAAAATAAATTCGCCTAATGACAATAAAATCCATACGGTATGCATAAAAAATCTAAAGCAAAAAAAAATTAATCTTGCCAACAATAATTAAAAAAAATGTCTATCTATATATTAATACGTGAAGCAAAAACTTTGTATCCCTTTTTACGAAAATTGGGCGGACGGAGGAGTATGAAATTTTTCACACTTATAGAGAATATAGAGAAGAAGTGCACAATGCTAATATTTTTTTAAAATAATGCATAAAATATACATTAAATCAATAAAGAAAACATTACACACACTACATACCATGTATTTGACGCACACACGCATGCATACTATTTATTGTAAAACTTTTGTTGTTGACGTCTGTTGTCAAAATTAAATATTGTTTGTCTTTGTTAATATTTTTATAGTGTAGTCTCAGCGAAATTTGTGAATATAGAAGTATAAAATACAATCAAAATAATGTACAAACTTACAATTCCAATTAATTATAGTCGAATTTCGACTACTGCGGGACCTCTAGTAAGATAGAAAATGTTCTCGTTAGGAAACATTTCCAACATATCCTTTTTCGATACCCGAAGCGGGTAGGCTTTGGTTATTGATCATTTAAAGGTTGACAGTATACACGACCGTTGCTTGTATTACTGAAAAGCCATATGACCCGATTGCTTTGATTACAATAAAATTCAGACCCATCAGTTCGATTCCATGTTCAAAAGAGAATCACTTTAGAATCATCTCTGAAACTCCTCTCGCAATTCAATATTTTTTTTTCTAATATCCTTGGAACCTTGAACAAACAATACTCTAATTTTACAAACCGACTTCAAAAGCAAAGCCCTATCAAGATTAAAAGTATACAACCGTAAAAAGGACAACGCAAGCAAAGGACAAAATAACAGAACAAGGAATAATTTCGCCGGGCTACCCTTGATACGTATTATGGCGATATTTGAATGGCATCAACCTTACCTTTGCCAAACTGAATAATTTATCAAAACACCCAACTCGGTCCGTTTCCGCTAAACATATTGCGCCGAAATCTCCACTGTCGTGTTTGGTTAATGAAAGAACAAAAATATCGGATTTTTTTCTCCGTGATGAAAATGTTAAAACGGGCAAACTTTTTTTCGGTCTTGACTGATTTGGGGGCGTGTTATCCGCGATATATCGCAGGCAACCTGTGCAATCAATTTTTCTTTACCTAATCTTTTTTTTTTATAACTTAGATGGGTGAACGAGCTCACAGCCCACCTGGTGTTGAGTGGTTACTGGAGCCCATAGACATCTACAACGTAAATGCGCCACCCACCTTGAGATACAAGCTCTAAGGTCTCAGTATAGTTACAACGGCTGCCCCGTCCTTTGAACCGAAACGCATTACTACGTCACGGCGGAAATAGGCAGGCGTGCGGACTCACCAGTAAAAAACTCTGACCTCTCTCTCTCTCACCAGTGTCTGAAACGTTTCAAGCGCTGGAAAGTTTTACAACTAAACAAACATACGCAGCCTATATAAAATTTAAGAGTACACTCTGGAGTTACGAAACACGAAAACTCAAAGTAAAAACAAACAGAGTTTTCGCCGTTCTAATTCAGGTTTGTTTGTGCGTCGGTCACGTTGGGACATGACTAGTGTAGCTATTGTAATATTATTATTTTTATGTGTAGAATTATACAAAAAGCTCGGCCACTTCACCTTATTACTGGTGGTGGGACCTCTTATGAGTCCGCACGAGTAGATACCACCACCCTGCTTATTTCTACCGTGAAGCAGTAATGCGTTTCGGTTTGATGGGTGGGGCAGCCGTTGTAACTATACTTGAGACCTTAGAACTTATATCTCAAGGTGGGTGGCGCATTTACGTTGTAGATGTCTATGGACTACAGTAACCAGTTAATTGTGGACTATGAGCTCGTCCACCCATCTAAGCAATAAATAAATAAAAAGTTCGACATAACCCAACCCAAGCCCATGGGCTGGATTCCTGAAACTGGATTCCCTAACGTTAAAAAATAAAAATAGTCACATCGTGCTGTGATTTTAGCGACGTGGTGCAGCGTAACAAAACAAAATGAATTATCTCAAACAAATGTTCCTCCAAAAGCCAGAGATGTGGCAGTTTATTGTCAAACAATGCACTGTACAAGTGGTGACGATGGTGGTATTTAATTCGAAGCATCAATGGTCTCTGTTAATAACTTAATAGCAAGTCGATACTCGACGATTACTGGTGGTAAGACCTATTGTGAGTCCGCGCGGGTGGGTACCACCACCCTTCCTATTTCAGCCATGAAGCAGTAATGCGTTTCGGTTTGCAGGGTGGGGCAGCCGTTGTAACTATACTTGAGACCTTAGAACTTATATCTCAAGGGGGGTAGGCGCATTTACGTCGTAAATGTCTATGGGCTCCAGTAACCACTTAACACCAGGTGGGCTGTGAGCTCGTCCATCCATCTAGCAATAAAAAAAAAAGTTGGCTGCAGACTCGTGTATCGATCCACAGCAATAAAAAAAATGATTTATACCCCAGGTAAATTAACTGGCAACCGTTTTGCTCAATAAATTTACCTTTGCTCTGTATTTAGTGACGATATTATTATATCCGCGTGTGTGAAAAAATCAATTCCGTTGTACAAAGTTCGTGTGATGATCATAATTTAACAAAGTTGTTTTGATATATGGGCCTGTACGATACTAAATTGAAAGGAGTTGAAAATTGTTATTCCTTGCTAAATTTGACTATAACGGTAATGTTTACTATAGCTTCATTCTTTTTTACTCTCTATCCACTTGGTGTTAAGTGATTACGGAAGCATCTAGACATCATAGCGTTGAGTAATATCATTGATCATCACAATAGTAGACATTACGACTACAAAACTTACTTAGGCGACAGATAAAAGTCACTACGCAGTCAAAGGTCCAAAGTCCTTTAAGAAGCCTCTTTAAAACTAAGCATAGGGTTTGTCAGGATGCAAAAGTTGCATTACCCCAAAAACGCATTAGAAATTCTAGGCTAGTCACCTGGTATTGTTTCAATTAAGGCATCATCTGAAATCATCATCTCTAATCAATCATCATCTAAAAATGAATTGCTGTTCGTTAGTCTCATTAAAACTCGAGAACGGCCGGACCGATTTGACTAATTTTGATCTTGAATTATTTGTGGAAGTCCAGAGAAGGTTTAAAAGGTAGATAAATATGGAAATGCTCGGAATTAAATAAAAATTACTATTTCGTTTTTCCTTTGATGTGTCCCCCGTTCTTCCTTTTGTTTGTTTTAAGTTTATTTAAACAAAAGTTTAGGTATTTTATTTATCGATCGAGGCACTACGAAGTCTGCCGGCTCAGCTAATCTCCAATAAAAATCTAGAACAGTTCTTTGTCAATCAAAATCTAATGCAATTATACCTTGTTACAGGATGAGGGAGTATGTCGAAGAGAATGAAAAGAACGACCCCCTGATACACGCTCCGGACAAAAAGAACAACCCTTGGGCCGAAAAAGGAAAATGCATTATTATGTAAACGAAAATACAATTAAAAAATAAATTAAAATTAAGATGAATGAAAAAAAAAACAATTAAATATCATCAAATTTACGTGCAATTTAAAAAAAAAATGTCTGGTGAGATGCAACGACTTGGAATACTCAGTATTGCTCAAGGACTCAGTGTTTATTGAGTACTAGAAGCCAGACAATAGGAACACTGCGATTAGAAGAAAGAAAAGGACAAAAGAAATTTAACACAATTATTGTTTTCATCTAATAATCTTTTTTTTTTTAAACGAATCTAGTCGTAAATCTAAAGATGTACATTTAATATCGTGCTAATTAATCAAGAAAAAAATATTAATATTATTATTATGTTGGTAAATGAGACGTTTAGAAATGGTTGTAAATACGTTGCGTTTTGTATTTCATAGTAAAATAGAAAGTTTGGGCGTGAAAATATCGTATTGATAAAGTAATGACGGGAAAGTGCGAACAAAAGAATCTATCCATCATTTTGGGCAACCGCATCGTCTCGGAGAATGTGTCTTGAAATTCAATTTGACAATGAAAGTTTTAGTTTCAACTCCCGATGAATCCACAACGATTCCACATAAACACAACAAGCAACTTCCTCTTTCATTGTTTGAGTGGATTCCGCGTGGATTCTAAAAAATCATAATCACCTTATTTCGATCGTGCGAACGGACTCCGCCATTGAGATATTAGAACGTAAACAAATATGAAGACTCTAAGAGCTCTCGAGTCTTCATATTTATAATATTTATATTAAAAAAAAACAATTAAATAGGTTAAAAGCATTTCACAACTTAATGTGTATTCGAAGGTACATAGAGACGTTCGCGACTTTAAATATTGGCAATAAAAAAATATAGAAGAAAATAATAGCGTACGTTAAAAATGTAGTTATTTTAAATATAAGATTTAATAAAAAATTATCCAACGTAATCTCGTTCGAAAGAAATAATTATAAGTGTTTCTTTTTTTTTTCTTTCTTACAAATGTTGCCAGTAGTGACGCTTCTAAAATTAGCTAAGCAAAACTCTTTTTTCTCACTTCTAAAATTTATATAATCTATCTCCTGGCTTCTGTGGTTCGTTTCGAATAAAATGAACCTTATAAAAAAAATGAAAATTAAAAGTATTGAGTAATAACTTAAAACAGTAGACTTTATCTAGTTCGATAGGGACATTCGGAGGAGTTTAAGGCGTTGTTATCAAAAGCTCGTAGCTTCCTCTGTAAACTTCTAAATTGTAATCTAAGATTTCCAGGTTCGGGAGTATTCAGACTATTCCCCGGGGGGTTTTGTTGCCAAAATCTCCTAATGAAAAGTTTGAGTGCGTCGGAACCTTTTAGAGCGTAAAATCCATTCAAAGGATTAAACTTAAAAGAGCCCTAAAATTTTTCGATTTAAATAGAGAATTTAAACTTATGCACTGTAGAGTTAGAGAATTAAAAAAATAAATATAAAAAAAATCTTAAAAAAAAAAATACCCTTCCCATATAGCATATCTAAGCGTGGAATGCGAAAGATCATACTGGCTGTGAGTAATTCCAATTTGTTTAATCGCTTCTACTCTAAGATATAGGCGGACATTGAAACATCGACAATAAACTGCGCGCTCATGTTTCGGCATCCAAAGCTGTCATCCACCACCGCATCCCATCAACTCAATATTTCATAGACAAATAATATTATTAATTTTAGATTTTTTTTTTAGAAAATAAAAAGTAGGTTTTAGTCTTAAATTTAAGAATAAAGTAACGGTTTAAAGTTCAGAGCATTAATTAAGGATTAATTAAAATGAAAAGGAATATTTAATTAAAAGACCTCTAGTGTTTAAATAAGGGATCTGTTTTGCAGTATCATTTGATGGCGAAGTTTGTTCCTTACGTAAATATAACATAACAATAGAAATTCAAGACACAACTCGACGATAAAAAGTTAATTTGTTTTGGTTCGTATTTTTTTTTTATGAAACTAATTTCCAAAGATTATGTATTGCGTTGTTCTGCATTATTTAAATTATTAATTATTTTAAAACTTTACAATTATCATTCGAGAAAAACAAATAACAATATGTAAGGAGATGACGGTATTGGAAATGATTTTTTTAGAATCAATAGTTATTAAGATATCGTATGTTATAAATAATTATGTATGAGTAATCACTGAAATAAATGAAAAAAAAGTCTTCTTTTGAGGTTTCAATTAAAACATTAAAGTTCTATCTAACCAGGAAATCAGTACTTAAATATAATATGTATTTTTACATGTAAGGTTTTTTTTTTTTTTTTTTGGTCAGGAGGAAATCGCCGGACTTCCGCCCTTTTCTGGGGATACTGGGCGGGGTATGTCAGAGTCGAACTGACTAAAACCTCCTGTCGCTCAACAACCAACGTCCAAACCTCGCATGAGACAGAACTCATGACAAGGCAAAGGGGGGAAAGTGAAGCGTTTAGTGCGGAGCACATCTCTCCNCTCAACAACCAACGTCCAAACCTCGCATGAGACAGAACTCATGACAAGGCAAAGGGGGGAAAGTGAAGCGTTTAGTGCGGAGCACATCTCTCCCATCACCCTCCCCCTCGGGACGCCGGACTGGCGGTCGTCGGCGCCACGACCACCAGCCCTCTCGGTCGGCAGACTGTCCGAAGCCCGCCTAGATGGCGCCGGTTAGAGTGGGTAAGGTCTCTTGTAAGCCAATGAGTGAAACAGTAATGCGTTTCGGTTTTAAGGATGAAGTATCTGTCGAACTCTAAAACCGTGACTTATAAATCAGGTCTCAATGTGAGTAGCATTAACATTAACATTGTTGATGTCCATGGGCTCCAGCACCTATTTACAATCAGGCTTGCCGTGAACTCGTCCATCGATTTAAGAAATAAATAATAAAGAATAAATCAGGGCAGCGACTTTACTGCGCTCTTGGCATTGCTGATGTCCACGAACGACGGCGTCTATTTACCCTCAGATGGGTCGTATGCTTGCTCGTCTACGATCGCAATTAAAAAATGAGATTTTTACTGATGAAATTGTCAGAAAGCACGGCTAGTTGTAAAGGTGTAGTAAGCCAACTCGGCAACTTCTTATGAATCCATTATTGTATGTAAAACGATACAAGTACAAGAATGTTACTGGTGGTAGGACCTCTTGTGAGTCCGCACGGGTAGGTACCACGACCCTGCCTATTTCTGCCGTGAAGCAGTAACGCGTTTCGGTTTGAAGGGCGGGGCAGCCGTTGTAACTATACTTGAGACCTTAGAACTTATATCTCAAGGTGGGTGGCGCATTTACGTTGTAGATGTATATGGGCTCCAGTAACCCCTTAACACCGGGTGGGCTGTGAGTTCGTCCACCCATCTAAGCAATGAACAAAAAAAATCTAATTTAATGAATGCACAAATTTAATGTACCGTTGGAACAATTTTATTTATTCCCGAAAGCGCGGTTATAGCAAGAAGCTTCCAATCTGACAGGTGAAGTTAAGCTCCATTCCTGCGCTTTCATTCTATAATATCATCATATAACACCAGGCACCGCGATTGTGCCTATTCCTACCCCAAGCAGTCATTCACTTCGGTATTTGACTTCTTTTTTTTATTGCTTAGGTCGTTGAACGAGCTCACGGCCCACCTGGTATTAAATGGTTACCGGAGCCCATAGACTTATACAACGTAAATGCCGCCTCCCACCTTGAGACATGAGTTCTAAGATCTCAGTACAGTACAACGGCCGCCCCACCCTTCAAACCGAAACGCATTACTATTTCACGTCAGAAAGAGGCGGTGGTACCTACCCGTGCGGACTCACAAGAGGTCTCCTACCATCTTACAAAAAAACAATTTCGGATTTTAAAAATTGTTTATTTCCAATTTTATTATAATCGGATAGTCTGCATCTTTTACACCTGATTACAGTCACCGTCGCTCATGGCCATCAGCGGTAGGCACAGCTATCTACTGACTGATATCTACGGGCCCCGCGTGACACATGATTATTTATTGGCCGCTTGATAAATAACATTTAGTTCCAAAGCTCGACCCCTAAACAATAAATTTTGATATTACATCGAATATAAAGGACCTTTAAAACAAAATAAAATAGCTGTCATAAATCGTAATATACATATAAAACAAAGCACCAATTAGCCTAGCCTGTTTTATGTGTGAGAAGTTTCGTGGCGGAGAGAAAGTTGGAAGGAATTATTGCTGTGGGAATATGAGTTTTGAATTGATTGATGTGAATTAGACGCCTTTTATTCGTTTTAGAGCAGAATTATATATTTGTTACGTGCTATTCCTTTTTGTTATTAGATATCTCAGAGTATGGGGGGCCATAGACGATATGAATTCTGTAACCCATCTTGAGACGTGGACCCTCAGACAGCCCACTGAATTTCGCGCCGGATCTTCTTAGTGATGGTGGTGGTGGTGGTTTCTGCGAAGCACTGCTTTTGCTAGGGCTAGTGTTTTCAATACACCAAGTTAGAGCCCCGTAAGCTCACCTAGACTCGATCTAGTATGACCTTTCGAGGTCACTAGAATAGGTTGAAAAAAAAAGAGACTTGGGAACAAAATTTTAGTTGTAGCGTAATATTGTCCACCATTGGCCCTACCGTGACTATACATAGAAGATTAATTATTATCTTTCTTCTTAAAACAAAACACTATGTAATTCATCTAAAACAGAGTTTTATTTATTAAATACAGTTAAACTTTTACTTAACAAATATCAACTAATGAAATAACTGTACTAACCTAAAACAGAGAATCGACAATTAAATGTTCATGCTTTACTGTTCTTATATTCAAATTTGAATCGTCCTTTTTACTTTTATAATTAAGCTAATTCACAAGGAGTTTTATTAAAAATGGTTGATTGTTTATCTGATACCTACCTACATATCCAAATATTAATGGTTCTGTCAACGTCAACGTCAACACAAAGCTTACATACATTTTGCAGGTATCCTTTTTTTTTCTTTTCTTACCTAGGCTGATAGCCGTAAGAGGCTATTTCAGCTTCTCCTTGACATCTAGGTGAGCTCACGGGGCCCAAACCGGGAGTGTTGCTAACAATGACCCTGGCAAGAGCAGTGCTTCACGGAATCTACCACCGGAACGGAAACGCGGCCCGCTGAGAAGATCCGGCGAGAAACTCAGTGGGCTGTGTCTGTGAGCTAATTTACTCGTCGAGCCCTTCGTCGTAAGCGGCGGGTTCGACAAGGACGGTGACCGGTGCTTCTGGTACCTAAAAGCACGGTTAATGGATCGGGAGGATCTGTAATGACATGCTTAGGGCGACGTCGACTGTTTACCATTCGGTCCACAAGATCGGGTATGCGTATTCTTTTTACTCAATAATGTTATCGTGAAATTCGCTCGAGAATTCGTCTAATTTTGGTATTATTTTTACAAATTTGTTAAATTTATCGACAGACTAGCTTAGAGTCTTACAGTATGAGGTATATAACATTGTATTAGAACAATATTTAGATGACCTTTGACGTCGCATATGGCGATTTTGTGGCTAATATCGTTTGAATGCTTTTTTACTAGTGCTTGGTGCCTTTTTTACAGGACTTCTTGTGAGTACGCACGGGTAGGTACCACCAGCCCGCCCATTTCTGCCGTGAAGCGTTGTAACCATACTGAGACCTTAGAACTTATATATCAAGGTGGGTGGCGCATTTACGTCGTAGATGTCTAAGGGCTCCAGTAACCACTTAACACCAGGTGGGCTGTGAGCTCGACCGCCCATTTAAGCAATAAAAAAAGTAAAAAAAAGAACAGCGACACGTACCCGCTGTACGCTATACCCGCATATGAGTGTGCGTAAACAAATGTCGTTTTCACAAAACATTTACAACGGTTTCCTTCGTTCCGGACCCATCCAGCGGTCTCCCTGCGTAGGGCACCCATAAATTAACCGAGCGGCCGCAATTTGCGCTCATACCGCTTCGCCCCGTAACATAAACTCATACTTTAGCACCGGACATTACCGGACGAGTGATTTGGGGGATACTTTTGTTAACTCTTCATTGTACGGAAACCGACATAAAGTAGTCAAAAAAAAAATGCTATTTTCGAAATGTCGAAACGTTAGTGAAAAAAAGTTTTATGCTATTGGATAGCTTCTATCGCGGGCCTTGAGCGCGGCGACTGAATCAAGAAATTCCGTAACGAAAATAACCTGACACCTTCACTACGCCTACTATGTAGCTCGCGTTCAACACATTCATACGTTGCGCTGGTGTAGTGTTTGTGAATATGCACTGCATGAGCATCATGAAAAGTCTGCCCATCTCTCTCTCACGCGGTCTAGCTTATGAGTGTGAAGGGGATAGTAAAGTTAATGTTTTGCTTTTGTTAATATTTATAAATATAGCGTGGTCTAATTTTTATTATTGTTTTAATATTAAATTATTAAAAATGCTTTGCAATAGCTTTACCGCGGCAGTCCCCGAGTGCCACACGTCTTTTTTTTTCTACCTAAGCTTATAGCCTTGAGAGGCTATTTCAGCTAACCTTAACTAGTAGGTGAGCTCGCGGGGCTCAAACCTGACGACGTTGCTAACACGAACCCTAGCAAAAGCCGTGCTTCGCAGAATCTACCACCGGATCGGAAACGCGACCCACTGAGAAGATCCGGCGAGAAACTCAGTGGACTTGAAGAAAAGAAGAGAAATGTAAGAATAAATAGTAAAAATAGTGAAAGTAAAAAAGAAGAAATAAATACTAGTGTTTTATAGTTTTTTTTTTGGCTAAGTTCAGTATTCGACTTACTCGGTAGTGTAGTCGTTAACGCCTTTTACTGCTAAGCCAGGGGCTCAGGGTTCGATTCTAACATCAGGCAAACATTGGTATGACGTATAGGCTTGCCTTTTGACTATTAGCCTTTCGAGCCGTTGTTTATTATTAATATGTGTATTCATTTGATCGTATAAAATAGTTATGATGATATATCGAATTATATTTGATGGCAACCTTAAACAAGAAATTGGCTAGTCATAATGTTTCTAGCTATTTGTCCAGAAATTACACAAATCCACCAAAAAGACAAGACCACTTGACAAACGTTATATAGCTTTATAAAAGCTACATAAACCTAACACAATTTACTGGTGGTAGGACTTCTGGTGAGTCCGCACGGGTAAGTACCATCTGTACCCTGTCTATTTCTGCCGTGAAGCA